GAAAAAGTGGGCACATGCTGATAGTATAAAGAGAGTTAAATCTAACTAATGTAGAATTTGAGAGATAATCTAGTGCCACCTAACTATATCCATCAAAGGCAGGTGACCATCATCTCTATATAAGAACAGAATCACCTGAATGTCTTGTTAAAATATAGATTTCTTAATCCTACTGCCAGAGTTTCTAATTGAGTGTTTCTGGGATGGGCTCAAGAATTTGCATTTCCAACAAGTTCCCAGGTGACACTGATGCAGCTGGTGCAAGAAAACATTGTGAGAACTGCATTGCAGGTGACCGACTCTTCCAGGGTTTGCTTGAACACTTCTTTTTAAAATTTTTTTTAAAAGATTTTATTCATTTATACATACGAAAGCAGGGGTATAGGCCAGAGGTGCAGGGAGTGGGGGGCAATGAGAGGATTCACCAGAGATAGAGTGGGGAACAGAATAGGCAAATCTACTAGAATACACTGCTGACGGGAGCAGTGGGCAAGATATGAGAGGTCTGCTGTGCCATGTGGGTTATCTCCCTGGCCAGGGATTGAATTCTTGCTGCAGTGGCTGCCAATAGTGTCATAGTGCTGAGACTTAACCAGGGAGGCCCCTGCTCTAACCCTTCTAATGAGATGAATCGTGAAAGCTGCCCATGCCAACAGAACCTCCTCCCTCCAGCTTACTGGTGCTGCCCTGAAATGCTTTCCCATCACTTTGTTCCTACTCCTAATTCTGCAGCTGGAATTACTTGACTACACCTAATCCCCATGTAAATGCCTGCACAATACACTTATTCTAAGGAAAAGGACAGATGTGGGTCAATTGGCAGATAGTATTATGTTGCTTACTGAGAATACTTACTTGTTCAGTCTATCCAACTCTCAATGAATTTAGTTTTTTAAAAACTGGGGTACACACTGGGCCTCCCCAGTGGCGCAGCGGTTGAGCACTGGGCTGCGAAGCTGCCCGCAGCCTCTGCAGCCCCGGTTTGATTCCCGGCCGCCGGCGAGGGTCCCACATGGTGCACAGACCTCTCCTGCCATGCCCGCTGCTCCCCTCAGCAGTGTACTTCGTCTGTCTGCCTGTTCTGCTCCCCGCTCTGGCTCCGGTGGATTCTCTCACCCTCCCGTGCTTCTGACTGTACCCAGTGCTTGTATAAATAAATAAAATAAATCTTTTTAAAAAACTAGGGTACACATAGAATAAAATGTATATGTAAAGCTAGCTATGTCTTCACATATATACACATTCATTCCTGATCAAAACAGAGTATTTTCACCAGCCCAAAAGTTTCCATTGACCCATTCCCAGTCAGAACTCACCTCCCAAAAGTAACCACTCTTTAACTTCAATTGCCATGGATAAGTTGTCATTGCTCTTAAATAGTATGTAAGTGGAGGCATAAAGAATACACTCTTGTATTTTATATTTCCCCTCAAAATGACAATGAGAGTCAACCATGTTATAAATGACATTATTTTCATTGCAGTAGTCCAAGTTTGACAGGTTGTATTGCCTTACATTTCATTCCCTGGACCTTCTATTTTATAGTTAAGGCTGATAATACTTTTAGCTAGCATAAGTCATCCCATCATTTAATCTTTTCAATAGTGTGAGTTGGGTCAATCATCAATTCATTTTATAGGTGAGATAACTGAGATTTGGTAACCTGCCCAAGGTCTCATAAATAGTGACAGAGATATGGTCAGTCTTGAATGCAGGTACTCCTGAGTCATCTGTGACCCCTGAGTTCTTAGCTGGTGTATTATCATACCTGTCAGTCTTGGTACTTTGCCAATAATCACCAATGAGAGATTGACCCTGGATCAATTTCTTTTGATTTCAAGGACATTTCACTTTCAGCCTCTTTTCCTTCTTTCCCTCTAATCATTCTATGTCACTGTCAACCATGAGGTGAACTGGAAAGTGACACTTGTCAACATCAACTTGTCAACTTGCCATTGAGGTTTCCTCAACTCCTTCTTCAGGGGAGCAGATCTATTGGAAGCATGTTGTCTTTCACACAACTGTCTTCTACAAGAATGAACTTTCCTGTTTGCTGTCTCTCTGGTCCTTTCTGAAATCCCTGCCCTTGATAAATGCAAATAATAGAAGAATCAGTTCTGTCTTGTGGTTCCTGTTAAGGTTACTTATAAATTATCTCTTAAAATTAATTTTCTGTTCTATTGAAGGAAATAGTCAAACTTTCTTTGACGCTAATGTCTAATAAGCTCTGAGCAAAAGGAAGTTTATTCTTAAATACAGATTACCTTGGGCAATTTATGCCTCATTTCCTATTTTATTTTGTTAATTGGACATGGAAAATTGCCGGTCAATTTACTGCATGGTAGCAAGTCACGTAGACTTAAAGAGATAATCAGATGCTTTGTAGCAGTTTTAAGCCTGATTTTTATTCAGTCTCCACATGTGCTGATATTTAAGAATTCTCTATTCTCCTTCCATATTCTTTATGGTGCATGCAGATTTTAAAAATTAGAATTTTGTTGCTAGGGTGGTTTCTAATGCTATCATTCCTTTCATGTAGAATTCTTCTTAAATAATCTATATTATAAATGTTATAAATCTAAATTTAAATGTATTAATTTATATGTTATGTATAATACATTATATATCATTACATAAATATAAATACAAACCTAGATTTATGAAGGTGGGTAGTCTCATAAACATTCTCTGTATTCTAATGGGAAATGAAGGTCAGGAGTGAAAAAGGAGTGTGCTTTGTTTATACTGACATCTCACTAACTTTTAAGTCAGATAAAATCCATTTATCTGTTTATCTTTTTGGAATTCTAATTTAAGTCCTATAGCTCATGCTGGGGAAAGATTTGGGAAATGTTTTTTAAAAAAGTTCATAAACTTTCTGGATAAACAGTATGTTAGGGCAACCAAAAGATTGACAGGGGAAAGTTGTTGTTTGTGGAAGAATTCCACATGAATGGAATGATAGCATTAGAAGTCACCCGTTTTCAACTCTGGTGAGTTAGTGGATCTAGACAACACTGGAACCTACCATCAATCTTGCTACATTAAAGGTAGACACCTAGAGGGCCTCCCTGGTGGTGCAGGGGGTTAAGATGCAACCTATGAAACTACCCCACAGCCACTGCACTATGAGTTCGATCCCCTGCCAGGTAGCTACCCACATGGCGCAGCAGACCTCTCCTGACTCGTCTGCTGCTCCCCTCAGCAGTATATTTCAGTTTGTCTGCCTGTTCTGTTCCCCGCTCTCTGGAGAATCCTCTTACCCCCACACCTCTGGCCTGTTCCCCAGTTCTTGTATGCATAAATAAATAAATCTTAAAAAAAGTAGGCACCTAGATATTATAGACTGTCTGATGTGATAAAGTAGAAGCTACTCAGCATCACCTGTGTAGTGTTCTTGCCAGTGACATTGAACCTGAGTCTAACCAAGTCTCTAGTTTTACTTGCCAGAACACTAGGGACAGAGGGAGCTGTACTTCTCAGTCTTGACAGTACACTGCAATTATGGTGTGGGAGGGGGGCACGGTATTTTTAAAGTCCTATCATCCGTCTGTGTCTCAGATTGATTAAATGAGCTTTTGGCCTGGACATCAGTATTTTTGTAGCCTGCCAGGATGTTAGAGTCTGAGTCAAGTTGGGAAAACACAAAAATAGAGGAACATGTGAAAAGATAAAATGCAGAATGTGAGAAACTCCATTAACAGAAATGACCAGTGTATTTATGACTGATATGTAGCATTAGAAAAAAAAGTGTATGGCAAGCTGAGGGTTAAGAGGGAATCCCTCCAACAAAAGATTTCATCCCCAATCCTGAGTCTCAGCCATCAGATCTGGGCTGGTGACCCCTACTCTTTCCTCTCATAGAACGCAAGTTCCCTATGAAGGCAGGCAGCTCCAGGCCTGAGTCCGATGGTGGAAGCAGCTGTCCATGAAATCAATTCATGAGCCACTTCTTAGTATTTGGATACTTCGGGACCCACAAACTTCCACAAACTGGTGCTGGAGCTGGCTTTTGTCCACGTGAGAACTCTGCAGGCAGTCTGTGTGCTCCCCCCCCCCCACCCTGTGGCTTTGTCACATGAACATGAAAACCCTCTACCCCCTTTAGACTTCCCACCAGCCAGGCTTGTCAGCTCCACCTGGTGAGGGAAAGCAGGATGCTGGCCTGAGAAGTCTGCCCCCTGCCCCATGAAGGGCTGTTGTTCTTAGTGGTTCCCAGGACTCCGACATCCAGGGGAATCCGACCTAGTTGAATTTTGCCAAAAATACTGTAATGACTTTCAAAATGAAAAATACCTAGTTAAGGTGATTTTATTATTTCTAAAAAAAAAGGAAGGGAGAGAGTGTGGAAGGAAGGAAGGAAGAAAAGAAGGAAGAAAAAAAGGAGGTGGCACTTGTAGATGAGAAGAAATTTAAGAAACCTAATGTGACGTGTGGACTTCATTTTGATACTTGAAACAAATCAACTATTCTAAGTTATTTTCTGTAGAATAAGAAAAATTTAAACAGACTGAGTATTTGATGATAAGGTAATGAGCATTAATTCTGTTACCTGTGAGAATAGTTTTGTCGTTAGGCTAAAAAGAAAGTTCTTGGAGATATATACTTAAGCATTCATGGATGAAATAGGTCTAGGAATTGTTTTGAAATACTCTAGTAAAAAATGGTAAGGAAGACATATACACAGATACGAAGATCGATAAACTTGGTAATTGTTGGGTGATCAGCACACAGGGTTTGATTTTACTGTTCTCTCTACTTTCATATGTTTAAAAATTTCTCATAAGATTAAAAAGGAAGTTTAAAGGTGAAATATGATAACATATCTCATACTGTGTTATATATTGTCAGTACAGAATCTTGGAAGTTACTATGGACTACAGACCTGCAATAAAATAAAGTTTAACTCTCTTTATATAAAACAGGCCTTATTTTATTTTGTATATATACAAAAATACTTGTATATCCAGTTATTAATTATATTTATATCTTGCTTGCAGGTGATTCTGGACCACCTCCTTCTACTCTTATCAACCAAAATGAAACATTTGCCAAAGTCACCTTTAAACCTAGTGTAGTACAACAAGCCAAGATTGCCCAGAATGGCATTTTGGGAGATTTCATCATTAGATATGATGTCAGCAGGGAACAGAGTATTGGGGACATCCAGGTAAAGGGTTTGTTGTTGCTATTTTATGTTAATTGCTCAATACTTTCAGTAAGAATTAGGGATTCTGATATTCACCTAAGGGAGAAAGAAATTTCTGGTTTTTAGGAAATTTGCTTTAACCCAAAACATATCTCCAAGGAGACTAATGGCATTACCTTTCTGGAGGCTGAGGGTATCTATTTCCTCCTTCAGTAATTTGGAGAGCAAATAAAATCCATGATGTAATTTCCCAGTGCTGTTTTAGGTGAAGTTAGAATTTTAGTTCATCTTCGATTTTAATTAAGAGACTGTTCCATGGCTCATTTCCCTTTAGGTTTATTGCTCCAGAGACAGAGTGGGACTATTAAAATGTATTAGTATGTATCCAGGATGTAGACAACCTGTAAGATGCTTGGTAAAAACCAGATGACAAAGGGAGCAGGACCTCAAGTGATAAGGGTCAGAAGGGAATGCATAATTTAAATGGAATTAGTTGATATAAATAATAAATTTTTAACTGATAATTTATCCTTATACAGATTAAATGAGCAATTTTACTCCTCTTAGAGGCATCAGGGCTATGGATGCTTTTGCTCTGAGCATGGAATCTGACTCTAGACTAAGTTTCATGCTGTCTTTGACTTTCAGAAGTTTGATGGGCTATCCATTTACCTTCCTACTCTGGGTACTATCATTTTAAATTTATTTTCCCTCCACTAGGTTCTAGATGGCTATTTTGTGCACTACTTTGCTCCCAAAGACCTTCCTCCTTTGCCCAAAAATGTGGTGTTTGTGCTTGACAGCAGTGCCTCCATGGTAGGAACCAAACTCCGGCAGGTGAGTGGGTGCCAGCTGCCCATTTATGCCTCTCTCACTTTTGCCTCACACAATGATGTTTGTTGTGGATAAAATTTAATCAATGCCAGATATCTGCTACACAATCCAACTATTCTTGCCTACAAAGAACATTCCTGAACTGATTCAGTTAAGCCATAGACATAAATTATTTCTTCAGCATGGTGGTTTTATGAGAGCAGAGGGACATACTATAGAAACACCTTTAAATAAAGGACTGGCAGAGTAGATAATATGAATGAGACAGGAATACACTGAGAAGGCCGCTGATCACTAAAATGTTGTGTGAGAACCATAGAATAGAATCTTTGGCCTAATATTTCAATAATTCAGAACTGAGTCTCAAAGTATTTAGGATGGACCTTAGACACTCTAGGGCTGGGAGGATGTTAATGGGACAGGTATTTACATGTTTTACAGACTACTGGAAAACAATTTCCTGGTATCATAATTATCAGAATTTTTCATTTATGATATATGTATAGCTCAAGAGCTGGCTTCTGTTTATTTTGCACAGTGTAGGTGGTTTACCAGTGTAGGTGGTTTGCCCCTTAGACTCTGGACTTCAACTTTTAGACCTCTAAGCTAAGAAAGTGATGCTTAGCCTTTTACATATAGTCACTCTTAATGATAAGGATATATTCTGGGAAATGCATCATTGGTTGTTTTCATTGCTATGTAACCTTGTCATTGTGTGACACTGTATTTTCTAAGTTTGGGGCTGTAATGAACAAAACAACATGATTATAAATCAAACACAAGGGAATATGATGCTATCAAGAGCTCTGTTAAACACATGATGTATGAGGCTGATGTGGGCATAAAACACGATGACTTTATGATGACTGCAGTGCTCTTAGGAAGTAAGAATTTGGGGGCCACCAGTGTGTATGCAATCCATTGTTGAATGAAATGTCATTGTGTAGTACATGCATATGTTTTCCTGGTCTTGACAAACATCCCTTAGACAAAAGTAATCCCAAATACTGAGCCCATCTCTATTCTTCTTCTCCCAGATCTTTTTTCTCACTGTTTTTGTTAAGCCTCTGATACTCTTAAGATCTATCTATCTACCTATCTTTTCTTGTTGTCATTATTTAGCTGTTTTAGTTGTTCTTCATGGGGTAAACCTTGCTACTGCAGCTCCTGTGGGGCTGCATGCACTGAGGCACTGGCTGGTAAGATGCTGCTGCTCCTGCAGCCCCCAGACACTGCCTCACAGTCTCTAGGTGCCACAGACCCCTGTTACAGAACAATTCTGCTCTGCTACTGTATCACAGAGGCAGCCGTAGACAGTTTGCAAGGAAATAAGCATGTTATGTTCCAATAAAATTTTATTGAAACAGGCAGTCTGGATTTGGCCCCTAGGTCATAGATTGTTGACCTCAGGTGTAGCGTGATGACTAGTGGATGTATGTCTGGAGATCATTTCTACTTATTGTATTTTCCTCATCGGCTTACTTCCTCTTGTCAAAACATTGGCCCAGGCAGTTGTGTGTTTCAGAAATACATTGCAAAACAGAGATCTGGGACTTGGGGCAGTGAACTGAAGGCAGTGGGGAAAACTGGTGTTTTTCATTCTACTGTGAATATGAGGAAATAAATGATGGACGGGGGCAAATATTTTTGTCAAACATTGGATCCAGGGAGAACCTGGATTTTTAGCTTCAATAAAAGTTTGATTGATAATTATCATTCTCTCTCGGTTGGCTACCTAGCTCTCTTCATCAATGACAATACAGATAATTTTATCTTTTTTTAAAGATTTATTTATTTATGCATACAAGAGCTGGGGTACAGGCCAGAGATGCGGGGATGAGAGGATTCACCAGAGACAGAGTGGGAAACAGAGCAGGCAGACTCACTGAAATACACCACTGAGAGGAGCTGCAGGAGAGTCAGGAGAGGTCTGCGGTGCCATGTGGGTTACTCCCTGGCCTGCCAGGGATTGAACTTGTGCTGCAGAGGCTGTGGATTGCTTCATAGTGTGGTGCTTAACCCCTTGCGCCACCAGGGAGGCCCAATAGAGTTAATTTTAAATTATGATATGATAACATAGTCGAGGCAAAAAGATAGGAGTTCTCACAATCATTGTTTCAGATACCAGCTCTCTTTGATACTCTCAAATACTCATTTTTGCTTGGATGTGGGTAAAATTATTGTCTTCATCACTTTTCCTCCCCAGGTAGCCTGACAACATAAAAAGAGATGAGTGGTTCCACTTAGTCCTCTATATCTAAGAAAACATCCCCCTCTGCTCTGGACCCTCTAGCTCTCCAGAATCAACCTTCTGGTGCAAATGAGGATGACAAGAAATAGTAACCAAAGCTCCTTCCCAATTCCCAACAATTAAGTTCATTTTTTTTTTATTATCTTTTCCCTTCTACAACAAATATCTCACTTTCTAGTCTCACAGTGTCTGTAAGAGTATGGGAGGTGGAAAGAGGCATTGGAAGTCATCATCTTCCCTGCCTCCTAGAAAGTGAGTCCACTCCCTTTAAATATTTTCTTGTATGTACAATCTACATTTGCCGATATGCTATGTTTACTTCTTACATAATTGTTCCTCCACTGTTCCATACTTACCAGGGTTTTTTCTTGATGTTTCCCAAAGCATATTCCCAAGGGATTTATAACGAGTGGCTAGGGAAAACAGGAGTCCTGAGAACTCATACAGAAGGGAAAGTTGAATGGGTCAAAGGCAGTTAGAGTCAGACAACAAAATTCTGTAAAATGAAGTAGATGGAACTTCAGAATCCAAACATGCAGTTGAGCAATATAAGTTTACTTTTAGGCCAGGCCCTGGAAACCAAGAACTCAGTGAGTAAGGAGTGTTAGAGGATGAAAGGCAGACAGAGTACAAAGGAGATCTGTAGACATAGGCGAACTATTGCCCACGTGCTCTCATTTGCTTCCTATTAGAGCAGCTAGTCAGCCATACCTGTCAATGACCACCTAGACCCCACAGATAGGAGTGATCAGTCTAGATTCTGAGCCAGAGTGCAATGTATGGGATCTACCATGAGGGCAAATCCTGATCAGTTAACCTTACATGTGAAGAGTAGTAAAAAAAATGATGCTTTAAGTTTATTTACACATCAGGCATGAAAAATAGATATACCCAATCCATCCTAAAGATTCAAACAAATGTTATTAGCAGAGAGCCTTTCAGAATGTATAATGGCATACTATATAAATGTTTGATACATTTGTCAAAGCAAAGTCTAAACATTAAGTGATGAATCTTTTTTTTTTTTTTTTAAGATTTATTTATTTATTTATACAAGCACTGGGTACAGTCAGAAGCGCGGGAGGGTGAGAGAATTCACCAGAGCCAGAGCGGGGAGCAGAGCAGGCAGAAGGACCGAAATACACTTCTGAGGGGAGCAGCGGGCGGCAGGAGAGGTCTGCGCGCCATGTGGGACCCTCCTCTGGTGGCCGGGGAGCAGCCGGGGATTGAACCGGCGCTGCAGAGGCTTCGGGCAGCTTCGCAACCCAGCGCTCAACCGCTGCGCCACCGGGGAGGCTTAACAGTAGTCAGAGCAGTAACATGAGAGGTAGTTTCCTTCTAAAGTTAGAATGTTATCCAAAACATAGAGATTAATGAGATTTAGTTATGTTATAATATCTAAATCTATTCAGGCTTTATTTTTTTAGTTAAGGCTGAATTTAGCCAGAACTTTGACTTTAACAATCATTCCCTACTAGTCCTGAAGTAATATTGGTATTAGATCTGAACCTTTACTTAAAAGGTGCTTTTCTTTTGCTATGAAGAAACAACCATTTTATTTTATACATAGTGGGTAAATTTATACATATATGTATATTGTGTATACGCACATTTACATATAAATAGAACCAGAGTTACAATATAATCTAGCTCAGCAGTGGAAAGAGCATTTGATACTAGAATTCCAACAATAGATGAAATAATAACTTCAAATAATATACTTTAAAAAATAGGAGCCCTGTGATTTTGCTTAACTTAGGAAATATGCTCTTCTTGGTAGTCTGAATATGAAAATGCAAAGACCAAAGAAATAATGTTTTCTGCATTTACTTCTAAATGGAATTTCAAGTTACTATTTAGTACTTACTAAATTGTTTTTAAAATATTGAAGGATAAGATAACTTCTATTCCAAATGTCCCATTTATATTACATGAACAAATCTTACTAGTTTCTGCTCTTTCTTCAAGAGGAAAGTTTTGGCCAGTAAAAAATGAGTTTCCTTCAGCAAGATTCCTCAAATTTGAGATATCTCTTTTTGGATACTTTATGTTGCTTATAACTTAAAATTTTTACTTTTTTTTTTTTAAAGTGTATGTCATGGTTGGGCCTCCCCTGGCAGTGCAGCGGTTGAGCGCTGGGTTGCGAGGCTGCCCGCAGCCTCTGCAGCACCAGTTCGATCCCCGGCCACCGGCAAGGGTCCCACAAAAAAAAAAAAAAGTATATGTCATGGTTCCCTTTGGAAGACACATGGCAGAGTAGCGCCAAGAGAGAATCAGGTGTTGTGTTAGCGTTGATTTCCTTTATGAGTTTACACAACCACTTGAAATGTTTACTCTATAGTCAGTGTGGAATCACATTTTTTAATTATTGTTTTTTTCTCCAAATCCAATTCGTTGTTATAGATTTTCTTGATGTATAACAATATAAACATGTATATACAATGGAGAAATGATCTTTCTCATTCACTTTATCACCTTGATCCTAAAGTTGGCATTAAAAAAAAGGATTCCTTGGTGGGTCAGTCACAACAACATTTCAGAAAACTTTCCTTCAAATCATTGGAAGACTTACTGAATATAAAGAAGAACTTCTGCTACCTTTCACAGAACAAGTTTTTGTGATTCTGAAATACTGTGGCCTTGAAATACTCCTGTGAAACATATATTATATATGCATGAGTTGGCAACCTCTGCTGGCAAGTTGTGGTGACTCTGGTCTTGGCTGTGACCATGACCTCAGGGCATCTGAGAC